TCAGATGCTTACAGCATGACACAAAACCCTTAACCTAATGGCTATGTGGCGTGCCCACAAAACCGGCTTTAAGCATTCGTGCAGAGCTTGGGAGTAGTGCTAGCCGGTTTGTGGTCGGGCTATCCGTTCCTGCCGAAAAAAAATGCCTTTAGGGACGTCTTCGCTTGGGTATTGTGGGTGGTTTAGGCAGAAACGCTTCTATGCAACTGCTTAGCAATGGCATTTTTTTATCGGCATCCACTTCTATCCCTCACGCTTCTCGATTTACGATTTTTTGATTTCACTATAATTTAACCACCTTTTTATGCAAAGTACCCTTCTTCCCTTTCAGCAAGACAAGGTAGGTACCCGCCGGGTATTTACCCAAGGAAAAGCTGATTTCCTCTTGATTATTAACGTCCATACAATCAAGTACTTGTCCCTTGACATCAACGATACATAACTCTTCAAATAACCCTGGCTCTAGCTTGGAAAAAGTGATTTGACCATGTGTTGGATTTGGGAAAGTTAGGATACCTTCTGTGCTAATTGTGCTGTGTGTGGAGGATGTTTGGGGGAGAGCGATGCAGCCTGTAACTTCATTCACTTGGTTGGTGTTGGGTATTGTATTTAACATTTGGTAATAGACTTTATCTCCAACTATTAAAGCATTCCTTGTGGTGGCACTAATGCTATCAAGAATAATTGTAAAAAGAGGCTCACTCCAGTTAGGTGAATGTATGTGCATGATTGGAGGATATTGCAAATTACCTTCATCCGTAACTAATGTAGGCTTTCCTAACGTGACAATAAAATTCCGACTTGATGCAATTTCATATCCGCCATCCCAATAGTCAAATGACTGTGGCTCAAGTTGATATACATATTGCCATAATACATTTCCATTTGAATCAAATTTTGTGGTAATGTAATCCGTGGCTGTATCATTTTCCATAACTGAGCTACCTGTGCAATAAACATTTTGAAACTCATCTTCACATAAATCAAAAACAGCTCCAATATTCTGAACCAAAGGTGTATTCATACTATAGATCCAGAGGGTATCACCTTGAAGATTTAACTTAGCAACATTATATCCAGTACCACGATTGCCCAAAAGTATATCTCCATTTTTGGTAATATAGCTTATATCATTGTACTGAAATGGAACTGTAGAGTATTTGTGTTCATACTCCGCTAAAATATTTCCATTATAATCTATTTGAGCTACAACGTAGTAAATGCCATCTTCCTTCACCCTTACAAAGAATAAGATGATTCTATCTTCTAGGAGCTTTCCATTGTATAAAAACCAAGGTATGTCAAGGATTTCTGTCCGCCATATTATTGCTCCATTGGTAGTATCCATGGCTTGTATATAATAATAATTGTCTTCTACTATGGTATCTCGTGTATGACTACCGGCAATAATTAACCTACCATGTAAAGTATCTAATTCACCAAATCCAATTCCCTCTTTTTCATAATTTTCATTTATCATTTTTTTCTCCCAAATAACTTCCCCCATTGGTGAAAGTTTATATACTTTAGTGTTGTGGTCATCCAAGGCACCTATAGGTTCCCAGTATTGAACACCTACATAAGCATAACCCAAGCTATCTACAGATAGAGATCCAATAGAATTAACATATAATGAAGGCGCATCAAACCTCCATAATACGTTACCTAGGGTATCATACTTTATTAGCCGCCCTCCATGAAAAGGAAGCAAACTTGTACCCATTGAGGTGTAAAGGTTGCCAAATTTATCAAATCTTATTTTTGGGCTAAGAGGATTGGCAAATTTTACATATTCAGTAGAATGCCACAATTCGACTGGATCTATCTGTGACCATGAAACTGTCGAATAGAGGGCAAGAAAATATATAAAAATTAGTCGCATCGAAAATGAATTTTAAAAGGTGGAAAAGGTCAGTTACGTTTAAAAAATCGTAACTGACCTAAAATAGAAGGTTAGTGTTTAAATATACGAACAGCGTGCGAACCATTGTTATCCACTAAAGTCACATTGTATATGCCTGAAGAAAAAATGCTGGCATCTACAGGGATCATGTTTCTACCAAGCTCCAAAGATTGCTCGAATGAAAATGCCATTCGCCCTTGCATATCATGTACGAAAACCTTACAAGAATTTTCTTGATGAATATTATCATAAAGGAGTATGAAATTATCTCTTACAGGGTTTGGTACAGCAAATAAGCCCATTTCATGGAAGGTTCCACTATTTTCTGAATTACGGTTATCAATTCCCAATTTTGAGATCGTCACTTCAAGATTTACTTGATTTTTGCAACTTCCATCTAAGCCAATGAAGAAGGTTTCAATTTCGGATTTATCTAATGCCAATAGTTCACTCAAGTCAGAAATAGAATGTTTTGCTTTGAGCGTAATCTTTAGCAGCCTTGTTCCATTGCTAAGTGTCTTAGGTGACATGGTTTCATCAAACCAAACAGCTTTAATACCTTCTTTGCCATATTGTAAGCCTCCTAAACCTGTTTCTTTTGAAAATCCTGGTAGGGCTTCGCAAACTGCATCAACATACTCAAAATCTAAACTTGAAGCTTTCAAAGCTAGTTGAAAGGCTTCTACACTGTTAAAATTATATCCTTTTAAAGATAGTTCAAAGACTTCATCCTTATCAATACTCACTTTAGGGACTAACATAACAACGTCTCCTAGGCATTCTTCTGAGGGTGGCCCTGCATTTGGCGGAGTTGTGCCGACTACATCTCCAAGTTTTATAGCATCGAAACCATTCCTATTGCTACCTGGGGTCATTAATGAAATCCAGTCAGGCGAGCAATATTCATTTGCAGTCACGTATCCATTCTGCCACGGGAGATTTACTTGCAAATTAAATGGGTTACCCCATGGACCTTCAAATGTTGATACCAAACTACCTGTGGCGTCTTGTGTAACACATTCCGGGATAAATCTCCATGGTTGCTCGTAATTTGGAAATTTATTGGTTATTCCAAGTATTAACTTCCGAATTTCCGTCACATCAGAACCTGTTAAGGAATTTGATTTATTTACATCACATGCTAGTATTTTGTATCCGTTTGCTAATGGTTGAATACCAAGAATGTGCCTTTGTATAAAAATTAAATCAGCTGTAGAAACTCCAGCCAACCAATTCTGGTCATATTGACTTATATCGTTGTTGCTGTATCGTCTCACATCAGACTTGACCTGATGATTCCCATTAAGATCAGGTAATATTCCTTGAAAAACCCCAACATTGGTACTGTTGGTTACTGCATAGGTATAAATAGACGGGTTATTTACCGGTACTATTTTCATTCTTACTCTATCCAATCCCATGCTAGTTCCTTCATATTCCACTTTATCTATTAAATTATCACAATTTAATGGCATATAATAGTCCAGACTTTCAGATAAATGGACTTCATTTATTTTATTAAGTTGCCCTTGGGTGAAACTTGTTAGACAGTTACCAGGTCCATAAGACATAAAATTTCTGACTATTGTGTGGCTGGGATCACTTAACGGCTGAAAATTATAGTCCACTACATCTCCAATATATGTACAATCATTAAAATTCATTCGACACCCAATTTTACACAAAGGATGAGTGATTTGATTGCTACTATAAGGTGGTTGGCAATAATTTATGCACTCGGTAGAGGGTAAATTATCAAAACAGCCAGCGGAAAATGAGGAAATGGCAGGAAATGGCTTGGCACCAAATTCAGATGTCGCATCGCAGGCTGCTGGAGTATCTTCGATGAGGTCTCCAGCCATATGAAAGTTTGGTAAATTTAAAGTATATGGGGTAGGTGTACTAATTTCACTTCTTGTAACCAACTCTCTTGCACTGGAACTTGCTTGGAGAGGATATGGGTAGTCAAATTGAGTTTGCATAACTGGAATAACAAAAGGGTTTGAATTATTTCCAAAGATATGGAACAAACCTAATGTATGCCCTAACTCATGGTGAACTACTTTAGAAAAACTGTAATTTCCCCCACTCACTAGACCAATGGAGCCTGCTCCATTCAAAAATACAAGCCCTCTCCATTCATCTACGTAAGGGTAAGTAGCAGACGACCTATTTGGACTATTAGTAACATATAGGTTAACCATGTTTCTTGTTCGGACATAGTTATAAGGTAAATCTAAACCATCAAATACTCTAGTAGAATTCACATATTCGACATTACCACATCGAAAAAACTGTATAACATTTGGCGTACCTATTAATTTATTGTTAACATCCGCCAACATTGCATCAATAAAGGCATTATTATAATTATATAAAGGGAGTTCCCAACCGCTACCGTCATCCTTTCTGAACACCGTAACTCTTACAGGTATTCTATAAAGTTGATTCGTAGCAGTAGAATTATTTTCTTGAAATTCCTCCAATTCTTGTCGAAAGGATTGAATTTCCAATATTGTTGGATCTTTTGTCCCGCAAGGCGCGGCTGTTTGACTGAATACTGGTAAGGCATAGGTAGTTACTAAAATAAACACGATGACTACATCTCGAAAAATCGATAATAATCTATTGGTGTACTGGTGTACTGGTGTACTGGTGTACTGGCGGTGTGTTTTTCATAATTAAAAATATAAGGTTAAGAAATCGGTTGAAGTGCAGAGCAAAGATAGGCAATAGTTTTAGTATTGCAAATTTTTTCCACTTTTAATTTCAAAAAAAATGAGCACTTAATGCTTAGATCAAAAGTATAATTCTAAAATTAATGACCTCGCGCGGCAGGGATAGTAGCGGAAATAGCTATAAAAAATCGCCTATTCGTAGGTAAAAGCCCCACTCACAGCATTTGGCGATTTTTTATAGCTATTGCAGCGGATAGCCCGGCGACACCCGAAAAACTGCCGATACCCAACCCAAGCGTTTGAGAGGCTGTAAATTGGCAGTTTTTCGGGGGGCGGCTGCCATATTAGTTATGAGATATGAACGATGAGATATGAGTTCTGCGCGTTTATCTCATCGTTCATCACTCATAACTCATCGCTTAAAACGGTGGCATAGCAGGCTTATTCCCCAAAATACCTTCGATTTGTTGCATGACTTCGGGGGTGAGTAGCGGTGCTACATCGAGTGCGGTGAGGGTCTCTTTGAGTTGTGATACTTTGCTTGCGCCGAGTATCACAGTGCTTACGTTGGGATTTTTGGTGCACCAAGCGATAGCCATTTTGGGGAGATTGGTGCCTAGCGAAAGGGCTAAATCATTGAGAGCGCGCACTTTTTCGAGGGTTTCGGGGCTGATAGAGCGCTCGCGTAGCCATTCCAATCCTTCAAGGCTGAGGCGGGTATCTTTCGGAAATTTGTCGAGGTATTTGTCGGTGATGACGCCGGAAAGTAGTGGCGACCAAATGGTCGTGCCAAGTCCGTAGGTGGAGTATATTTTGTGGTATTCGACCTCTACTTTGTCGCGCCAAAACATATTGTACTGTGGCTGCTCCATGACCGGACCGATGAGGCGATTTTCGCGAGCGACCACGTGGGCTTCCATGATTTCTTGCGCTGACCACTCTGAGGTGCCCCAATAGAGCACTTTTCCTTGCTGTATGAGGTGATTCATAGCCCATACGGTCTCTTCCATTGGCGTGGATTTGTCTGGGCGATGGCAAAAATACAGGTCGAGGTAGTCCACACGCAGGCGTTTCATAGCGGCGTGGCAGCCTTCCACGACGTGTTTGCGGGAGAGTCCGGTTTGGTTTGGTAGGCGACCACCGTCGCCAAAAAAGACTTTGGAGGACACGAGGTAGCTGCTGCGCTCCCAATTGAGCTTGTGCAAGATGTTGCCCATGACGCGCTCCGACTCGCCTTTGGAGTATATTTCTGCATTGTCGAAGAAGTTGACGCCGCCTTCATAAGCGGTTATCATGAGATCTTCGGCGGTGTTATCGCCTATCTGCTTACCAAATGTTAGCCACGAGCCAAATGAGAGTCTGCTTACCTTTAAGCCTGATTTACCTAAGTTTACGTATTCCATGTATTGTATATATATTATTTATCACTGATTAAAAATGTAGTTCTGCGATTGGCTTGGTGCTCCGACTCGGTGCAGCGGTTGCAAAGGCAAGAGACAGCCGGCGACGACTCACCATAACCCACTGCCGACAATCGCTCGGTGGCGATGCCTTTGCCAATGAGGTAATTGACGGCTGCCTGCGCGCGCTTTTGCGAGAGCTGCTGATTGTAAGAATCATTGCCGCGACAATCTGTGTGACTACCTAACACAATTTTGATGGAAGGGTTTTGCTCAAGCACGTTGGCAAGGGCATTGAGCGTAGGTTCGGCATCAGGGCGGATGTCGGATTTGTCGTAGTCGTAATAGATATTTTCGAGTACGATTTCTTTGTTGCGGAATATTTTGTCGAGTACGATCTCTAGGTCGAAGGTTTGTATTGGGTTTTTAGGGTCTTTTGCTATGCCTTTGCTAGAGAATCTGCCGGTATTTGCCAAAAAATCGGGTGCACTTGCCGTGAAGACGTAATCGGTCTGGGGCTCCAACTCTAGGGTGTGTGCGCCTTCGTTGTTAACATCTACGGTTGTGGTTTTCCCTTTGGCAGCGATGGTTAGTTTGGCACCAAGCAGTGGTTTTCTGCCATAAACGGTGCTATTAGGGTCGGATGGATTGGCGTATATTTTCTCCAAAGTGATGACATTAAGCATGATTTTGTGCGTTTGAGCGACCACCGGAGGCGTAGTATCTACCGGAATTGGCTTGGGCGGGGGTACTTTCTGCACAAATCGGTAGATGTCATCGCCTCCCTTGCCGCCTTCCTGTCGGTTGGAGGTGAAATAGCCTTCGCTGAGCAGGTCCCCAATTTTGGAGGCAGCGACTTTCTGCTTATAGATAATGCCAAAATCATCATAACTGCTATTGAGCGGTGCCTTGAGATTCTGTGGTGGTGCCCAGGCGTTGTCCACGCGCCAAGTCTTGAAAATATCGAAACCGCCCATGCCCGGCAGTCCATCAGAGGCAAAATAAAGCGTGTCGCCATGCACGGTGGGGAAGCTTTCATTGCCAAGGGTATTGATATTGCGGCTGAGGAGCTTAGGCTCTCCCCAAGGATTTTCTAGGTCTTCTTTTCGCTCTACGAAGTAAATATCGTAACCACCCCACCCTTCCGAGTCGTTGCTGGCGAAGTAAAGCACCTTACCATCCGCTGAAAATGCAGGTGCCACGTAATTGACCTTTTCTTTTTGGAAGGATAGTGCTTTGGGATTGCTCCAATGGTTGTCTTTGCGTTCGCAAAAGTAAATTTTGTTGTATTTGTCATCGTATTTGAGCGCACCGGTGGAGCGTACGAAGCACATTTCGCCAAAATCTTTGGCGAAAGTGGGTGTGGCATCGTTATATTCGCTGTGCAAGGATGCATCAAATACCTGCGGACTTGCGCCCTCTTCTGCCACCATGAGGATATCAAAATAGGGATTTCCTGTCCATTTATAGGCTGCTTTGGCGGTTGACATGAGCCTATCACTCGTAAGGAGGAAGTGATTATCCTCAAATAAAACCGGGGAGAAATCATTTTGTGGAGAGTTGAAAGGCGCGAGGGTGATTTGCCATTCGTTTTTGTCCATTTCTTTGAGCCACGATTGACTCATGACGCAAGCAGTTATCTCTTTACGGTATTCGTAGGGGCTGCCTATTTCGATGCCGGTATCTTTGAATTTCACCTTAGCCTCTTCGTACAAACCCATTTTTTTCAGTCCGAAGGCGTAGGCGCGCAACGCTTCGGGTCCGTAAGCATTGTCATACGCCATTTGGTACCACTTAGATGCTTTTTCATCATTGCCTTTTAGTCGCCACGATTCGCCGAGCATATAAGCCAATTTACCTTTTTGTACCTTGCTTTTAGATTTGGCTATCTCTTTTTCCAGCATAGGTATGGCTACATCATATTGCTTACGTTGCACAGCTGTAGTACCATCTTTTATTTTCATGGTGTACGTGCAATATGTGCCTAGAAAACTAACTAAAAATAGCCATATTAGGTGCTGAGAACGAAAGTGAGAAAAAGATATCATGCTGGTTATGGATTTATGTTTTTTTAAAAAGAACAGATTTTCCTATTTCTAAACGCATTTACAACACCCAAAGGTTTTGAAAAAAGCACAATTTATTGACCTTTTTTTACTTTTGTGTTGGTCTTGGGCTTCATTCGCTCTTTCACCTTGATTTCTTCGGCTTTTACTTTTTGCTCCAATTCTTGTATTTGTGTCGATTTAGGGAATGTCCGCTTGTATTCTTCCACTTGCTTGCTGGTTGGTTTCCTACCCATTCTGCGCTGATAAGATTCTTCCAATTGCGGCTGTACTGCCTCCATGACCTCGGGTTTGGCTTTCAAAGCCTCTACAACTTCCGGCAAACGCGTGGTTTCAGGAAATTCCTTATCCAATACTGCCACTTTGGCTGGAGTTGGGTCTTTCTTGATAGAGGCAACCAACGCCTCCTCCATAGCGGGAAGTGCTGTGCGCGCCATAGTTTGGTCGGCGCTCACCGCTTCTTTCACTTTGCTGATATTTTCGCTTTCGGGATAACTGGCAGCAAAATTACTCGCACCCTCCGTAGAAGGATTGTTCGTAATCCTTATCAAATCCTGATGCTCTAGGTTTTCCAGTTGGGCGAGCACTTCACCTTTTCGAGCAGAATTGCCATGACGCTCTAAATATTTCCGCATTTCATCCGGATTTTTGGTGGTCATAGCTTTGGTGTAAGCATATACCTCCACCGCAGGACTATTGGGATTGGATTTATACCGTGCTTCATACTCTTGATCGCTGCTGATGGATGCCTCGCTTGCAGAATTGCTCAAACCGAAACCTCCGTTATTGAAAAACAACCACCCTGCCGCAGCGCCAAACACCAGCAAAATCGCCAAATACATCATTTTATTGCCCGATTTGCCGCCTTTACTTGGCTCTTCGCTAAAAGTATGCCCCCCATCACTCGGGTACTTCGCAGGCGTCACCACAGGTATTGGTGCAGGGCTTGGTACGATTGTCCCTTCGGTTTGAGTAGGATTAAATGCCTCCTCCTCTTCACTTGGGCTTTCACCGGCAGTTGCAGAGGCTTCGGCTGCTGGAGCATTGCTCGTGCTGCCCACCAAATAAAGCGTTTCACCGGCATTTTTGAGAACACCTACCGTAGGCATAGGCAGATGCGCAACTATTTTCACCTCTTCTTCCAATACTTTTTCTCTAATCTCCTGCTTGCCATCCACCCATTCTATGATGCTCACTTTCACCTCCACGGTGTAAGAACCTTCTTGAAGCGGAGTCACATAAAATCGCCATTCGGTCACATCGTTCCCCTCCAAATCAATGGTTTGGATCGGTTTACTCGTCGTACGTATAGCAAAGTGTCTGCCCACAAACGGGTCCAGAAGCTCCACCTGCATAGTTTTACTTGTGCGCTTAAGGCTGCGCTCCTCACTAGGCTTGCCTTTATCGATATCCTCCCAAAGCGTAGCTTTATCCAACGAAATACGCACCAAACACTTCGTTTCTTCTTGCAGCTGCATCACATCGGGTATTTGGTAGAGCAAAAGACCTTGGCGGCTTGCACCCTGAGGTTTCGACTGCACATCAAAATCAGCTTCCTTCAAGTCATTCACAAACTCCAAAATATCGCGTCGCAAAGTATTTTCCAGTAGGCGCATCTCTTCACCCGAGACCGTGCCTGCTGCCTGCCTTTGGTGAATATCATAAAACCGAGCAAACAACAACACTACAGTATCAGCAGCATCGCCCCCATGCGGCAACTTGTCTCGAAGCATACCCAGCACAGCCTTGTGATCGGTGACCAAAAGCTGCAGCATTTCTTCTTTGAAAGTGGTAATTGGCTTGTCCAATGGCATATCAACACATTTACAGGTACTTAGTACTTATTGAATTAAGTTTTTTGATATTTTGGGTAATCTACGTATAGGATAGAATTAGTGAAGCACAGTACTAAAACGCAAATATAATCAACTTACTGTATGAGTAATGCAAATGCTTGAAGTATATTTGCATTTTCATAACGAACTTTAGTATATCTATAACATAATTATTATATATTCAATGATTTCTTTAGACACCCAACACTTGTCAAAATTTGTCAGACAAGAGGAATTTGATGCCCTACAAACTCAACTCGATGCCGCAGCGAAACTGCTGGAAAGCCGCAAAGGTCCCGGCAATGACTTTCTCGGATGGCTCGACCTGCCCACCAAATACGACCGCCAAGAGTTCCAACGCATCAAAGCCGCAGCCAAACGCATTCAACGCCAAGCAGAAGTGCTCATCGTAATAGGTATCGGTGGCTCTTACCTTGGCGCCAAAGCTGCCATAGAGTTTTGCGCACATGGATTCTACAACAATCAGACTAAAAAACAACGCAAAACTCCCGAAATCTACTTCGCCGGCACCAATATCTCTAGCACCTATCTCACCCAACTCATCGAAATCATCGGCAATCGCGATTTCGCGGTCAATGTCATCTCCAAATCGGGCACGACCACCGAGCCTGCCATCGCCTTTCGCATTTTCAAAAATCTCCTAGAAGAACGCTATGGTAAAGAGGCAGCAAAACAACGTATATACGCTACCACCGATGCCCAACGAGGCGCACTCAAGACCCTCGCCACTCAAGAAGGCTACGAAACTTTCGTCGTACCCGACAATGTAGGCGGACGATTCTCTGTGCTCACAGCCGTTGGATTGTTGCCCATCGCCGTAGCCGGTATAGATATCACAGCCCTCATGCAGGGTGCCGCCGCCGGAGCTACTGCCTTCAAAAAAGCCGGAAACGACTGCCATCAATATGCCCTCGTGCGCAATATCCTCCTTCGCAAAGGCAAAAACACCGAGATACTCGCCAACTACGAGCCGCGCTGCCACTACATCGCCGAATGGTGGAAACAACTCTACGGCGAAAGCGAAGGCAAAGACGGCAAAGGCATTTTCCCTGCCGCCGTTGACTTCACCTGCGACCTCCACTCCATGGGGCAATACATACAAGATGGCAACCGCAACCTTTTCGAGACGGTGTTGCTTATCGAAAAGCCCGAGCACGACATCACTATGCAAGCCGCAGCTGTCGACCTCGATGGACTCAATTACCTCTCCGGCAAAACCCTCGATTACATCAACAAAAAAGCGATGGAAGGCACCATCATGGCGCATACCGACGGCGGAGTGCCCAATATGATCATCCGAATCCCCGAAGCTACACCTTACTATCTCGGGCAGTTGTTCTTCTTTTTCGAGAAAGCATGTGCCGTCAGCGGCTACATGTTGGGTGTCAATCCATTCGACCAACCCGGCGTGGAAGCTTATAAAAAGAATATGTTTGCACTGCTTGGAAAGAAATAGTTGGTAATGGTTAATGGTTAATGGTTATTGTGCTCGTTTTAAATAGTTATACAAAAACAGAGCAATGTTTTTTTGCATTTTCTTGGCTAATTTCAACGTGCATTAACAATTAACCATTAACAACTAACCATTAAATAAGGGCGTGTCCCCACACAGCCCTTTTACATCCCGGGTAGCTTAGTGTTTCCGTCGGGGCTGTGTGCGGTCGGGCTATCCGCTGCAATAGCTATAAAAAATCGCCTATTTGCCTGATTGCAAACGCTTTATGTTTTCGGCGAGGCGATTTTTTATAGCTATTTCCGCTACTATCCCTCACGCACGCGATGGAGACCTTTAGGATTTCCGGACGTCAAAAAACTTCAACATTCTGCATTCATGTACTCGGCATTCATGTATTCCATGCAGTGTGCCAACCCTTCAACATTCGGCATTCAAAATACCTTTGCCATAAAAATCATTATCCTAACACACGCATTCGGACATTGCCCGCCTGCCTTCACAATTTGATAAATTTCCCTCGAAATATCTGGTTTTTCGTTATCACCGCCACCGCATAAAACCCTGATTTATAACTACTTAAATCGACATTAAAAGACTGTGGAGACTTTTTCACCATCCCACCAACTTGGGCACCATTGATGTCAAAAATTTGCACATGATAAGCCCCACCTAGGTTGTTGGGCAGTTGTACATTCAATACATCATCCACCGGATTGGGCGATAAAATGAGATGGCTGAAAGCCTCCGCCAAAGGTGCAATGGAAACACTATTATTGTATTGGGCTTGTATGCTGTCTGCATGCAAAGCAAAGTCGTATATTTTCATATCATCCAGCACCCCTTTGAAGTTGTAGGTAGCTTGGTCGGGAAGCATCTGCCCTATCAGTAATGGAAAAGTAGTATTGCGTATTTTCCCGGTAAGTACTTTGTACGACTGCAATTCACCATTGAGGTAAAGCGCCAATAAGCTGCCATCGTATGTGACTGTAAGATGGTAAAACACATCAGGCAATAAGGTAGTCGTACCATCCAAATCGCTGATGCCATTCAGGGTGTTGACTGTCCAACGCAGGCGTTTTTCAGGAGTGATAGACAATTTCCATCTATTTTGCCAACTGCCATGCGACATTAAAAAGGTTTCATGATCGGGTATAGCTGCTGTTTTGAACCACAAACTCACCGTGATGCCGTCCTGAAAATGAAGTATCGGTTGGTCCATTACGGCAATGTGCTGCGCACCACCATTGAAATAATATGCACTTTGTGGGTTGCCATACCCATCATTAGTCAGTATTACGCCATTAGCTTGCCCATGTAGGTTGTTACCACTTATATCAAGGGCATTCCCGGAGCATGGATAATGCGCTATGAGATTCCCAATAACAGTGCTGAAGTTTTTCACCAAAATGGTCGTTGTTTTTTGGCTCATCAGATTGCCCGTGTCGGTCACCTTCACTGTCACTTCATAGATGCCTTCGGTGGAAGGCGCAGTCCACGACACATCGCCGCTACCTACGCCTACAATCGCACCAGCAGAGGCTATCCATTCATAAGCTAAAGCATCATTATTGGGGTCGGTGGCTGTGCACGAAAGCGCCATTTCTCCATTGGGCACTACATAAGGGCTACTTTTTTGCAGCGCAAATATACTTGGGGCATCATTTATCTGAGTGACCACACCGAGCATAAGGGTGGCTGTATCCGCATTGCCTTGTGGGTCGGTGGCTATGAGCATAATCTGCACCGCTTGCGGACTGCTAGGAGCGGTATATAGCACTTGAGCGCCACTTCCTGTGGCAACTCCCGAGGGGGCAATCCATTGATAGGTAATATTGCCTGAGTCAATATCTTCGACCGTAGCAAATAGACTAGTGGTATCACCTGTTTCTATTGGATTTTGAAGTGCTGCCAACGATTTTATCCTAGGAGCACGAGAGAAAGCTTGCGCATGTTGGTTATAATCTACCACTACGCCGTTCACCAGCATCTTATTTTTATCATAGGCGATGGTGCCTCCTGCCGGGCAAATAGTCACCACAATGGCTTGGTTGGCAGGAATATTCACCTCAACTATACCCGCCGCTACATTTTGCTGAATAAATGCCTCGCTCAAGCTTTCGTAGATATCAGCAGGAAAGCTACTGCTACCTATATTTAGCTGCACCAGGCTGGCAGTGTTGTGCGGGTTGTAGAGCAAATAGGTTGGGAAAGCGGTATCCGCAAAAAAATCGGTTTTCAACAAATCTATTTGAAGTATTTTGTCCACATTGGTGGTAGCTACTATGGCGCCAAGGTAACCAATAGACGAAGTGCCATAAAGTGCCAAATTGGTACCTGCCCAGCCGCCTTGCACCGCATCGCCGGTAGAGAAAGGCGATAGATTTTGGTATTTCTCGCGCAAAGCTTCGTACCCGATAACTTGCTGCGGGTCATGTGCGGCAGACCATGCGGTGGCATCTTGCAGATTGCCCGGCAGAAAGGAGGGGAAAAACAATCGCGTAGCATTAGAAAGGTGTAGCATCCATTTGCCGATGTCGCGCGCAAAGCGTTTGTCGTAGCGCACCATTGGCGCCAAGGCTGCTGCCTGTTGCACGCCATTGAGTTGAAAAGCATAGTCATTGCCGGTATCGTTGGCTTCGCCTACCAAGCCCGAAACGCCCATGCCGCCCCAAGTGCCTACTATGGTGCCCCAGCCGCGCAATTCGCCGCGATTGAATGACCAATTGACCATTTTCTCGATGTCGTAGTTGGTGCCTATCTCCGCATTCATTTTGGCGGCGGTGTAGGTACCATAAGGCAATTGCAGCTCATAGGAAGGATTGGCTGTCCAATTATTAAGAAATTCGATGGACCATTCTGCTGCTCTTAGATATTCAGGATTGGCGGTTTCCTTCCAGGCGTGGTAAAGCACCCAAGCAAAAGCACCGGCAGCTTCCGGCTCTTTCACGCCATTGGCATTAGGCTCCATGGTTTTGAATTTCCAAGCCCGATAGTTCATGTAAGCAGGTTGCCAAGGGGCATCGTTGCCTCCCATAGCGCGCACGGCCTCCAAAAATTGGTCAGCAACGCTACCAAATTGAAAATCGGTTTCCGCATCGTGGTCAGGATACAAATTGTACAATTGGTAGAAATACAAGTTGGGCATCATATCGTACCACCAGTCGCCTCCACTGCTTGCGCCGGCATTGTTGAGGTAGATATTTTCGCCATTGCTTTTGTTGAAAAAATCTCGGCTCATGGTCAACCAATTGAGCCCAAATTGATTGGTCTTGTTGGCTCCCACCAAGGTTGCTCCCACCAATGAAGGCAATACATTGATAGATTCGTTGCCCGTAGGTGAGTTGGTGCCGACCTAGGTATGCAACCCAAAACTCTGCGCAAGCGGATAATTCACTCCCGCGGGTTTGAGGTAAACCAATGGCAGATATTGACCGGTTTTTTGCAAATCATATACAAATGAGTCGTATTGCAGGGCTACTTGCTTCCAATTGCGCATATTGTAGGGTGCAGGCTGGCTTGGCATGAGTGCAACACGGGGTATGGCTAGCTGCCCCATCTGCGCATAAGTGTGTGATAATACACAAAAAAAGACTAAAATAACTGGTATAATGCGCATTATGTTAGGCGTTTAAATATTTTAAATAATTTCTATATGCAATTTGAGAAAGTATCATTGACTTAACGAAAACCTTGAGCGTGTCATGCTGATAGCGAATTTTCGTATCTCTTCGGGGTTTTCTTTTTCGCTTCGCTCAAAAGGAGAGAAGGGAAAACGGATGAAACGGATTTTGCAGATTAAAACGAATTTTCTCCTTGCACCTTTTGATTTTAACAGATTTTTCTTTGCTCCGCAAATAGATTAAACCGGATTTCTCATTGCGTGTATTTGATTTGAACGGAAATTTCGCTAACGCGAAATAAAATGGATTAAAACAGATTTTCTATTTAAAAATTCATATTTCATCGTTCATAATTCATCGTTCAAAAGCAGCAGGGATAGAAGCGAAAATAGGTAAAAAGCGCCACAAACGGCGCTCAAAACTACGACGAAACCCCTAGTGGCGTTTTTTTACCTATTGCAGCGGATAGCCCGGCGACTCAAAAACTGCCGATTCTTAGCCTTTTGCGTTTGCGATACTACAAATCGGCAGTTTTTGAGGCGGCTGCCCTAATATCCCGTGTTCTGCATCAAGGACGGATTGAGGTCAAGCTCGGTTTGGGGCAGCGGGAACACCTCGTGTTTGTTTGCCTGAAAGCCCGGTAAAGTTTGAGCTGCTATCTCCCAGCGCACCAAATCGAAAAAACGATGCATTTCGAAGGCGAGCTCTACCCGGCGCTCATGCCTGATGGCTTCACGCATTTCAGCCTGATTGGTAGTGACCACCATCGGAAGCGTAGGCGTGGTAGCCTGCGCTCGTGCCCGGGCGCGTACACGCTCCAAAGGTGCCTGAGCCTCCTGCACCCTTCCGAGTTCCGTGAGCGCTTCTGCCTCCCATAGCAATACTTCTGCAAAACGAATGGCGGTGTAATTGATGTCCCCATCGGCTTTTTGGCTCACCGAATCTTTGGCTTGCAGGTATTTGCGCACGCTATACTTGGTAGAGGAGAAGGAATTTTTGTAAATTACATCAAAATAAGGCTCATTATTCATGGCAATAGACATTTTCCGCCTTGGATCATCTACTTCGAAGGCAGTCACCAGCGATTCCGTTGCCTCCGCAAAACCATATCCGCCATCGTATTTCTTAGAAGTCCACCATTGATTGAGGAAGTTGCCCACCCCAAGTTGAAGGTTGGCGTGTTGTATTTCCCACACCGATTCTGCGTTATTTTGGGTGTTTTTCCTGAAATTATCCGCAAAATCGGGCATGAGGTCATACACGCCAAGCGCTTTCACCTTATTGGTATATTCCAATGTTTTTTCCCAATTTCGCTGATAGAGGTATATTTTTGCAGCCAACGCCAATGCCGCACCTTTGGTGGCGCGACCGACCTGTGTG